CTTTGCAAATTGTGCAATCCAACAGGGGTCAATGCCATTTTGTGGCAACAGACCCTTATGAAGGGAACAAATAAAGATCCCAAAAGCCGATAGGAAAAAATTCCCACACAAATGAAAGCTGAAATACAGACTGAAGGGTATGTCAAAGTCAATGTGCTAAATACAAACCCTTGAGACAGGATCATTCAAGGTTACAAGGCATTACAGGTTGTGGGGTCCTATCTATCCAGCTTGCACTTTCATTTGTGATCATTTAAGCATGCATCTAAATAAAATGCCAATGTTCCTCATACAGTTAATGGGAAACAAGTATCTTTCAAGGACCTCAAAAGGACATCCTTCCTAACCAAGTTCAGAATTCTTTACTGGGCAGCCAGGATTTCCTTTTGGGGGTCTTCAGAGTATATTGCCTCTTTCCATCAATTATACAGGGAAGAAAGGCATTTCATTTGGGGGACATACTCCCTTGTTACCATTTCCTCAGCAGAAATGGTAAAATGCACATTCAGATTTAACTCCACAGGAAAGCAGATCGCCCCTGGTTTGTAAAAGTCTCATGGTAAAACATTTATGTAGGTTTCTAAAGAACCTAGGCATGACTAAATGAACAACCAGACATTCTTCTCACACAAAATCAGGACACGTTTTCTCTCCTGCAGTTCAAATCAGACTGAGTGATCAAAGTGTCATCTTTGCCATATATAAACACAACGTGAATGTCTTCCATTGAGATTTTCATGTCTCTAACTGGCTGTGTTTCTGGCTTGCTACCTGAGAAATGGGATAACTATTATTTTCTTGATTTCATAGTATGCTTTGACCTTTGTGGACAAAAGTACTATTCTCAGCATCACAAATACTTGCAAAATGCTTTTCTTAGAAGGACATGATACAGCTAGCCATGTGATTAAGTGATGTTTCAGTACAATCCTTTGAGACCTTTGCTCCAGCCTTTCACATTGATATTTATCTTCCAAATTTGTCCTGGTAACCAACGCTGTCGATAGCTCAGCAGGACATTCCTCATAGGCAAATAAAGATTATCAAAACCAAACCAAGTGCCCCTCCTCAAATCCTATTTTAATATTCTAAAAAAAATCCTGAAGCCTGATTTTGAATTTTTCTCTCTTCCATGCTCTTCCAAACATGACATTTTCAAAAATCTTGATGAATACATACACTGATAATAACAGAAACAATGTAATAACACGAACATGACCAAGGCTTATTGCAAAGTGTTTCCCAGGTAATTCTAAAAGGTAGTTCTTATGATGCTTGGCAAACTTTTTAATTTCCCACACAGAACAGGTAAATAATAAAAGACATGAACAAAATACTGTCGGGTTACAATTTTGTCAGGTAATGTGCTTAGGCTTCGCTGTGAGTGTGATTAAATAACACAAAGAGCATTCCATGCAAGGTACTGAGCTAAACCAATTCTTTAAGAGAGACATTAAAGCAAATCTTCTCCTTCACATAACAACGACCTCTTGAGATCTATTTTCTTTCATTCCATGTTTAGTTTATGTATGTCTCTACAAATCTTTTGTGACTAGGCATAGCATGTTTGTAGAGTGCAAAACAAATTTTTAAATATGCTATACAGTAAATTTACATTTCTGTAAAGACATCTTAAAGCTATTTTACAACTAATAACTATTGGGAGCCTGTGTATTCGTTGGAGCTTAGTGGGACTGATTACCTGTCTTTAGAAAGCCAAGAGACTGCTGACATCTCTGATTACAGGAGGAAGGCTTTGGGCATGAAAGTTTCCATAACTTTTCAATAGATTTTTAAACATTCGTTTCATGGCAGACACATCATGTAAAAGGACATTTTTAGATCTTGCCAAAGGTCTGAAACCATCATTTTTTTACTTTTTTTTCCTCCCCCTCTTTTTCCACCTAGTTGCTTGGACAGGTGTATCCAGTTTTTCCACTAAGTTCCTCATATTGCAGGATTATTTTTTATTTATATGCATATTGGCATGCATAATTACAACAAGGTTTATTCTACCCAATATACACAAAGGTAAGAAATTAGAGGAATTCCTCCCAAATATTTGAATTCTATTTTTAGCACTTCAATTCTGCTATAAAAATTAGACATCGATTCCTATGATAATAAAGATTGGAAAAAATTTTCAGTCCAAATTTAATCTATTAAAAATTGACCTACCTATAAAGATTTTCTACAAGAAGCAAGGGAAAGGTGGAAACCCTTTATGTGCCCTGATGTGTAAAAGAGAAATGCCTTCAAAGAATACTGAGAGCATGTAAAGGGTAATTATTTTTCTCACCCATTTTCACATTCTTATCCAACCAATGTCACAACTGCAGTTACCACTGCCAGACTTTGCTTGAGCAAAATAAAAGCTGCAGCCAAGAAGACCTGTAGCCCAACTCTTTAACAGTGAGGATCTTATTGAAAAAGTAGTTTTGTTCTTGGTGAAAGATGAGGTCCCAGTTACACAAAATGATAATATATCCTACTTTCACTTTCTGGAAAGAATATATTAATACTCATTAACTTGAAGCTGAAATCAGGCATCAGAAAACATCACATAAATTACAGCTAAGTGCATAAATAAAGGATTTGCAAACTAAACAAATTCATAAGCTTCAAAACAAATTTTAAGCTTCATACAGTTAAGCAGATACACTTTCCTACAAAGACGTTCTGTGGGGATGTAAGAGGCATTTGTGTTTTCTGACCAGACAGCTGGTGTACTCTAAAATCAGCGTTGTGCTGGTTTACACCAAGGTTTGGCCCATGCATCCAGAAGCATCCATGAAGATTTTGATCACCACTGTGTCACAGATTGCATACATATGGAATACTGACTAAATCTGAAGCCCTTACAAGGAGAAAATTTCTACTGATGTTTAGTTTTATCTAATAAGGATTTTAAAATCAGATCGATGGTAATATACTATTCCATTAACCATAAGTGTGGGCATATATAACATACATTCAAATGTGGCACTTATACAAACCCTAGAGACACATCTCACCTATCCAGCATGATGTTACAAGGTACGTGAAAAATAAGACTGAATAAAATAGTATATAAAAATTCATCAATCTTGCAAATCTCTCAAACCATAGAAGTAGTATTACAACAGTTTCTACTACTAAAAACTTGTAGGACAGACTGAAAAGATGTTCAGGCACCATATCTTTTCTCTTTGTATTTCATAACATGTATCATGAAAATAGAATTAGGAGAGCAGAAAGTTGATGACTTGTTCAGACAAGTTTCTGCAATGCGATGGCATGCTGGGGCATACAGTATTTATCAGCACTGCTAATGAACTGCGAAGTGGGAAAGCTTTATCTGTCTGCTGCCTGGGCTAATCAAGGGTGATGCTAGAAGAGACAGGCTTGTCTCAGTCCTGAGAAACGCCAAAGCTGCCACCACAGGAGTTACAGCTAAACTCAGACGACACGCTTCCAAGATTGCACTCTCTGCTCTCTCTCAACTCATCCCAGCCTACTAAGTCTTACAGCTGCAATCATCCTGGGCGAAGAGAGGTGACCTGCAACCGGTGACTTTGAAACTTCAGTGACCACTGGAGTGACGGAAGAAATTCTATAGACTCTGGTGCCTGCGAGGCAGGGTTGCTGTGAGCTATCTCTTCCTCTGTGGTCAGCATATTTTTAACTAATCCCTGCCTTGCCTGGACATGCTCTTGCAATACCTCTAACTATTCAGATGTCTTGGTGGGCACCCTGTGTCTTCTCTGATTGCAGAGTTAAGTCCTAATAAGAAATGACATTGTTTCCTCAGCGTACAACATGCTGCACACACATCAGCCAGCACACAACAAAAAAGACACAGCCCCTGCATTTCAGCTGATTAACCCAATCCCTAGCGAAACCTGTTGCCCCTTTGAGGTAAAATGTATTTATCTATTATGGCACATGTTCAATATATACAGTTACACTACAACCAAACCAAAAGTGTCCTAAACACATAGGCTGAGATGTTTGACTACAACTTATTCATATTAATCCTTGCTTGGAGTGGGATGCTGTTGTTCTATGGAAAGTTTTACTATATTAATAATGACATTGTCTCAATATACAATCTATAATATATCTAAGTACATCGAATAGGTATGATTTCTTGTATAAACCTTCAATTAAATATACCTGTCTAACAATGTCACCTTGTATGCTTGTCAGAGATTGGTAAAAATATATATATGTATCCAGTCTCCCAGTGCACAGGATCCAGTGATTAACTTTTAATCGCTGCTGCCAGCCTCTATTTTCAAATACCGGTTGTTACGCTGTATTTAGAGGACTATTTTCTCATTCCAAGGGAGAACAGAGTTCCGGAAAAATTCTTGACGTGCACCCAAAATGCAAGAGAAGTAACTCAATGTGTCCCACATTACAACACCCAGACTAGGGTAACAAGCCAGGTTACTTGCGAACTGTAAATGAAAAGTTAAGGAAGAAACCTCACAGATCCATACAGCCAAACAACAAAGCTGTCAAAGAGTTGGTTCCAGCTCATCTGTTATCGTTTTCACAATGCTACATGGTTTATGCTAAATCACAATCCTAAGCCACAACGTTATTTGGGAAATCAGTTCCTACAGTTAGGAAATATTTGACTGATTACAGCATCTCCAAGTTCTTATATTCCCTCTTTATCTTTGCACTCTACATGAGCATCGCAGAGAGAAAACAAAACAGCAGTCAATACACTAGCTGCAATATGGCTTCCTATGGTAAGGACAACATGTCATTGGCTTTGATATTTTTCCTTGTCCAGTATGTGTTTCTCTGTGTGTATGTGTGTGCATGTGTGAGCGCGCACGTTTTCTTCTCTTTTCTATGGTGCACTTCACTGACATATTTAATAGTCACTCATTTCCATAGCATTTGTTTATCATAACTTACAAAGTCAAATTGGAGGATTATATTGTATTTACAAACAAGTTGGCACTTACAGAATAAATTATTGATTCCTCTTTATTTTTTATTTCATTTTATTTTCCTTTTTTCTCCTCTTCTTTTTCACCCCAGGGCATCCAGAATTCAGGCAGAATAGTAAAACCTGCTGCCTGCTGCCATTATGCTACATTAACATGAGTAAATAGGATTCCAGCTGGTACACTCCTTCCCAATGGTTTGCTTGTTGCTTAGAGGCAGTGCCTTCCACCTCAGTTCATGTCCAATTCTCAGGAACTGTTAGTCAAGTGAAAGCAAAGGCTGCATGTTTTCTTCCTCATTCTTATCCATGCGTTTCAGTACCCCAGGATCCACAACTGACTGAGACCTGCAGAGGGATAACATGTTTATTTGACATTTCTAGATCAAGACAAATGAGGGTAAACCTCAGCGGTCTTTTGTTTGTTTTCATTTCTGCTAGGGCTTAAAAATAATGGTACAGCATTAACCAAGCATCTGATCATTGCAAATGGTCAGAAAATACCCTCACGGAGTGATTACACGGCTTTAATGGGCTGGCTTGTGGATACAGGAGCAAAAGGTGGAATAAAGTGGTGCATCCTCAGCACACAACAGAGGGCAAACTAAGCTGTCTTTTGTACTGACTCAAGCACTGATCCTCTCTATCAGAAGGTTACACAGCACCAGGCTGGTAAAGGAGGTACAATTCGGCCACCCAACTGGCTAATGGCACACTGTAATTAGTGGCATGTGTTAGCTGGAAGCGCAAGTTGCTCCTTTTCTGAACAGCACTTAAATGCAACAGCATGAGCTCCTAAGCCAACCCTAGGGCATCCTGCCATGGCCAGCAGGACTTCTGGAGCAGTGGACACATCTGTCAAACTCACTTATCAGCTCAACTAAACGGAGCAGAGAAGGATGGTAAGGGCAAATTCAATGATGATCGTAAAATTTCTCCAGATTCTCTGGTTCAGCACAGAAGTGTAACACTGGTACTGGGACCCTGCAACAGCCATGTGTGAGGGAAAAAGAGGAAACCCCAACCTCCAGTAAAATCAAAATGCTCCATTAAAAACAAAGTCCGAAGTGTTAAGATGCGGTCTTACATCACCTATGTCTCAGCTTGCCTAAAAGCAGACCCTTCTGGGATACAGTAAAAGCAACCCTTGTTTGATGTTCCCTTTAGTGAGCTGAATCTCATGCTAGAAATGCCTATTTCTCTTCCTTTCTCAAATCTAAAGATTTGAGCATATGTACATCTACAATGTAGGTATCTATTTTTGATCAGCGGAAGCACACTGTGACTGCAGCATTGCTACAGATTTGCCCATTTGGAGGGCTACAGCACAGAGAAAAACCTTTATAAATTCTGACCTCTCCTACAGAGTCAACCCCCCACTCTTATAAACCGGCATCATCCACTGAAATCAATGAATGAGGCTGCTGGCAGGACACAATTTGGTCTTTCTCAAAAAAATCTAAAGAAAACCTTCAAAAACACAACAAAAAACATCTGAATTAAAGCCTAGGAGAAAATTTTAAATACAAGGATATTATCTAATAATACCACATTCTCTTACGAATGCTAAAATCAAGAAAATTAGCTTTAAAAATCTGACGATCTCTCTTGTGATGAACATAATTAAAAAATTTTAATTAAAACTGTACAATAACCCTCATCTAGAACACCGGTCAGTTCCTCAGGCAGAAAACTAAACCACTGAATTAAAAATGCTTTTTTAAAATATTCACAAGGTACCGTGCCAGTGCAAAGCTGGTTGAAAATTTGCTGGTGGGAAGCTGTACTCCTGGAAAATCAAGTTCATCAAGATAAAAAGTGCTGTGGAAGCATACTAATTTCAAAAGATTCCCAACTGAATGTAAGTACTAATAGGAGACTGAGCATTTTCCTAGGCTGCCAATGTCTGAGCAGCCAAGGTTTCCAGTTCTCACCTGGGGAACTGAAGGGGAGCTGGAAAGCCTGCAAACCTGGTCTCAAAGTCCCAGTGAGGCAGTTTTGGTTGCAAATTCCCAGGGCCCCCCAAACTGCCAGCACCAAGGCAGATGTGAAAATGAAACTGCACAAACCCTGATCTATAGCTTGTAAGCTCAGGAGCCTAATTGCCTTAAAGAAGGAGAAATCGTTTTCATTCCATTTTAAATCAACATTTACTGTCATGCTTCATTCCCTTCAGCAGCAATGCATGAATGAAGGTATGCAAAAGGAAAAATATTTCTGTAAGTCTATAGCACCTTCTATCTACATCTCCCAAATAACTTTATGGACGTTACTGAACAAATTCTCATGACACACAGTAGGACAGAGCTGTGCTGCAAAGCCCCATCGCAGAGGTGAGGAACCAAAGCCACACACAGATACTTTGCAAAGCTGATCAACACCGACATCTGCCCTGGGGGGTTAGCTGAAAACAGGATGCACATCCCTGCAGCTCCAGCTGGGTGCCTCAGCCCTGGCAGCCACGGATGGATGCATCAAAAGTTCAAGAAGATCTGAAGGAACACCACTGGTTCACATAGGGGCAAAAATGAGTAACAAAGAAGTGAATTCTGGGCAGAATTTTGGTTTAGGAAGGATATTCTTTCAGAGCAATAAACTAATTTTAAAATGGCATGTGAAATTAAACAAGATAATTGTTGCAGATCTGCTCGATGCTTGTGAAATTTGTTCTAAGAAGTTAAGCACTTTTTGTTGACCTGCTATCGTGGTTTTTTATATGTTAAAAACCTTCTTCTGGACTAACATACCACACTGAGTATGGCTTTAAACTGAGAGAAAAAAATCCACCAGGTGCCAAAGTCAAGTTAAATCTAATTTTTAATGAAATAGAGTTTATTTGTTTTACCCTAACTTTTCTATTTCTGTTTTAACACAGTCTGTGCACTTAGTACATCAAAGTCCTGGGACTTTCTGTCCATCTTACTACCATTCCCTTCTACTTGGTACTAGCACAGTAAGTCCACTTAGTACCTTTTATATCCAACAGCAGGGAAGGAGGATTCCAGCAGGTGCTGCAGACATGCTAACTGAAAAAGGATGCGAAGAAGGGGAGGACATTTCAGCTCAATATTATGTAGCTACAATTTTCAACACGCTTATTTCCTGTGGTATGTCTCCTACTGTGTCAGCTAACCCAGACTGAAAGAATGTCAATTTGAAATTTACACTGAAGTTTAATTCTGCATGAAGGATTTTTCAAGCACAAGTTAAATGAAAAGAAAATAGGTAAGCGTGAGAAAGCATTCTTCGAGAAAGAATCTGGTCAATCCACTGCTTTCCCATTTAATAATGATGTACTTGCTCATGATAGTCTGGAAAAGTCTGCTCCAGAGGGTCTTGTCATAGGCTTTCTCATGGTTTTTCATGGCATCCTTGGATGAAGGTATTTACTCTCGTGGTTTAATTTTGCAACAGTAAGAGATACACATTTCAGCTCCTAAATTCTACCCTTCTCTCCAAGATAGCGTCTCTATTGTCTCATAATTCTTATATTATGTGCAAATCATACATAAATGTGTTGCTCATTTTTCTCCTTCCCCTGGCTCTTTGCTGTCCCATTTTCTCCACTACTTGTGTTAATTGCATATTTGTCATATGGCTTCAGGACCTTTTTTAACTTCTCCTTATCCTAGTTCATTCCCATCCACTCTCTTGCTATTTCCCACTTTCAATGCACTGTAGGTTTTTTTCAACATGAAATCCTTAAACTTCACTGCTTTTTTTCTTTTTTATTCCTATGGCAATCTCCTGTTGTCTCCTCTCTATTTCGCCAAAAATATCTCCCTTTCAAACCACACTGTCCTCCTCCCCAGTCCATGCAACATTTTCCAACCAAAATCATCCTCCTGGCTAAGGAGTCTGAAAATATTTTATCCTGTTTGATCTGCTTCCAGAGTCTCTCTCCTTTTTGCATCAAATGCTATCATCTCCTGAAACTGAATTCTCAGCTTAGCATATCCTGACTTAATTTTAATTACTTTATATATTGTTTTCTGTCCTGTTTGTTCTCCTCTGATTCACTGCTAGGCCTAGCCCTTATGAGCTGCGCTCTGACTTTTGCTGTCCTGCTCAACCTTTTCTATCATCCTGCTCTAACCTTTCCCCTTTCTCTTCTACTGCCCTGGCAAGGTTGGACCAGGTTTACCTCTCCCAAGTGAATTACCCCACTGCTTCCATTGTTACTGGAGAGGTAACTAACCTCTCCCTATACTTAACTGTCTTTTAAATGGTAAAATGCAGCAAGCAATTACACTGCATCTTCTCAAAGAGAAGAATATCAGAATGCCAGGACGTTTACCAGACTCGAGTATAATGATTGGTGCTGATTTTTGTCCTGGTTCTCATTATTACATTTTCTCATGTCACGTGCAGTCACTGTGACTGACAGTTCAGATGCTGTAAATGTCCTGGCACCTACAGGCTGGTGGATACCAGGCACCAGGCTATGAGATGGAGGAAGGTAAGAGTTATCGTCACCATCCAGCTGGAAAATTGGCCCCAATTTACCCTCTGCACTGAGGCTCACTCCAGCTAGCGCTGTCTCACTAATACATACTTGTAGGCTGGGGTGGGTTATCAGCTTATTCCAAACACAGTACTGTACACGCCAGCTCTATGGCACCGCAGAAACAATTAGCTGCACTGAGCTCGCAACTCACATAGGTAATAATCAACATTATGGTCTATAAACAACAGTGATCTTAGAAAAAAAATGGTCCTCATATATGTAATAAATTGAGGGAACCACCTGCAGCTTCATAAAAGAGAAAAAAGGTAAATTTTAACCTTATGGCAATACTAGAAGGCCACAGTTCATTTAACCCACCTTTTCATGGATTTGGGAGAGAGGTCCTTTTCTATATCCTTTGCAGGAGCGTTGTAGGAGTCCGCATTGCATTCGCTGTCATCATCATATTCATGGTCAAGCAGTGTTCTTGCCCATGTCCCCATGTCGTAGGGCGGCAACATTCCTCCAAACTCTGAAGGCAGGATCTCAGGGTGTATTAGCTGATGCAGGCTGTTGAGGTTATTACCATGCAGGAATATCTGTATGTACACATGCAGGTAAAAACAAAGCAGTACCACAAAAATCGTCAAAGCCCAAACCACATCATCATTATTAGAAGATATTATACAGTTTCAATATTCTGGCCATGTTGGGCTAACAGAGATGGCCACTAAGGCACACATCGTCCCTGCCTTAAGCATGGTCATGCTATGTTCATAAACCTACAAAGTAATTAAAGCATAAATGACTTGAAAAGTTTGCAGGACAAGGGGCCTAAGGAGGGTAAGAACTGATGTCTGGTAACTAGATGGACCGAAGATTACACAGACAGACTGCCTATCTCTTGTTGTTCTCTTCCTTATCCTGTGAATTACTATAAGTGAATAGATTAAGAATATAATAAATAAAACTAATATTCACCATGTACATTAAGGAATATATATTGACTTTCATCATCCAGCCATGAGTCCTATAAATAAGATAAATAGTGCAGTGTAATGAAAACTCTGCTGGAAAGATTTTCTTCCTTAATACAGTGGTACTAATAACTACCATCCACACTTGACAATATATGAAGTAAGTAATAACAGTAAAATAATTTCTGTGACAACAATGAAGGACTAGTTGATGGACTGTTTGATATTTTCCATCAATGTTTTGGTAGACTGATTTTCATATAAGCTTTACATTTATATATATGTATATTAATATGACATATGTATATGAATACTTGTATTTATATTTATGTTTAACCTTATTGTTTCTCCTCAGAGATCTGGAATGTGTGACTGGTGAGCACTAGAAGCAGAGCACCTGTGGATTTGGACATCCTTCTCACATAGATCCCAGGGACCTGCAGACCTTCCACTGTGAGGAAATGCCTGCTCTTGGGTATGCCTACACAGACAGCTCACAGCAGCTATTTCTAGACAAGCAAGTAAGATGGGCCAGGATTCACTCTTTGGGACTAGGAGCAACTGCCATGGCATAGTTCACATTCATATGGTTAAACTCCTTTCATCTCCAGAACAAGCTCACCTCATCCATGCTGCTCACTGGTCCGTGCCATTCCCAAATTGCTACTGGGCAATGTCTAAGAAAGCACCAGCTGGCACTGGTCAGTGCCCTGCCAGAAAGTGCCTGTACAATTAAACAGTAGGAATGGCAGTGCTCGATCCTTTTTAAGTGACTAGCACAGAAGCAGATAAAAAGGGTTGGGCACTGCCATTCCTACTGTTTAATTGTACAGGCACTTTCTGGCAGGGCACTAAGTTTTGGACTCTACGTTGATATTTAACGACCTGACTACTTCTTACAGGTATTCAGTATTGACAAAAGCACTTGTAAAAAGCGTTTCTGAAAATATATGCCACTGATTCAGGTGTCTAAATAAATATGTAGATGTTAACTGATAAGCATCCATGTTCAACTGCCTTGTCACTTATTTTTAATGCTGTAAGACACCCATGAGCTATACTTTACTCCCTGGTTATGCATACACAGCACTTGACTTAAAAAGGCCTCAAACATATCTGGCACTATAATACTCTTTGTTGAAGCTGTAGTCAATGGAGTGCAACTGAATCCTGCAAAATGGGTTTTCATTTGCATATTTATAACAGATATTACCTAAAAGGCTTTGTGATCTATAGTTCAAAATCTGTGAATACCAGAGACCTCTCAAGCATAATCTGTCAGTAAAAATCAGCTAAACACCAAGGATCATTGTGGCCTTGTAGACTGTGTTTGAGGAGAGAAAATACAGAGTTGCTTAGAGACCTCATCCCACAACAAAAAAAAAAAAAAAAAAAAAAAAAAGATCATCACATTCTTTGTAGTGGCATTGTACATGATGCTGATTGTGTTTTCCTGGATGACAAATTTCCTGTTACAGAAATAATATCGTTCTATGTGCTATCACCACCAAGCTCTAATTTAATTGCACGGATGCAAATGCTACAAATTCAGCAACATCTCAGAGACTGCTCGTACTTATGCACAGATGCACGCACACAAATTTCCTTTCATTGGCTTTCATTGAAATCAGTATTTGCAAACTACTATATACCAGCTGCATACTGTAGTTCATGCTAATGTCAAGGAAATCACACTAGCAAAGGACTTTGTACTCAATACCTTTGTTCTTAAAAGCAAGACACAAATAATTTTAACAGAAATTGAATAGAATTGAATTGAATAGAATCTTAATAGAAACTGTAATATTGGCAATATTTTTAATATAACATAGGAGAAAGCATATGATTATATATTAAAATACACTTAAATGCACTGCTTGACTGTGTCCTTAAAGGATAACACTGTATGTTTCTAAACCAGTCAAAGATAATCTTTACAATGCAGATGTATTTAAATACTTTCCACAAATAGCAAGCTGATATACTGTGTATATCTATTTTATTAGCGTATGACACATCTGCTGACTACAACTGCCAGGTAATGTACAATTAACAGAAGAATACCCTTTTTCGTGTCTTCTCCTTTAAAAAGGGCCGTATAACCGTGTAGAGGGCATGGATATACCACGGCTGATTGACAAAATGTATTCCTCCAAACCGAGCTGGAAAACTGTCCTGTATGTGACAAAACAAATACATACAATATGAGTTGACTCAACAGAAGTTGCACATGCATCAAATCATTATTTTTATGCTGAATGCTTTCAATTTAATAAAAACCTTAAACAAGAAGAAATGTTCTTTAAAACTGTGTCCTCTCAGTTGAGTTCCAACCTTCCACACCAAGCAGCACCCTGGACAGAGCGATGAAGCAGCACACTGAGACAGCTATGGTATTCAAATAAAGGCATGGCATTTCTAACCTTCAGAAATACTTTTAATATTTATGATTTGCCTATAATCCATCTATGCAATATATTTTTCTTTTTTCCATGTCTATAAATTTCATTCATTTTTAATAGTAACCATCTCAACTGTTCCAGTGTCATTGAAGAGCACTAGAAATGTCCCTCTTGTTTCCACCTCAAAAAGAAAGTGTAAATCTAAACTACTATTCGAAATGTCTCCAATATTATTCATATTTCATAAAACTAAGAATGCATTAAACATTATGCATAAACTGTTATGCAATATCCATGACAGTAATTCTTGTCACATAGTCAGAGGCCTTCTGGGAGCTTAAATGTAAGGATAGCATATCTGTATTGAAGCAATTACTTTTCTTTTTTCTTACTGAAAAACACCAGGAGCAGACAACTCACTAGGAAAGATTCTGATCTGCATTTTCAATTTCTAAGTCGAGAGAATACGCCAGAGGATTTGGCAGTTTGAAGAGCGCAGCCACGCTGTCCTGGAATACTATTACCAAATTCATCAGGTGTCCTTGTTTTGTCTTTGCCTAGTTGATCATACGCTCAGACAATGCAATAAGCTACTGTCATCTCTATGTTGCCTAGAGTTGCAGTACTGAGCAAGGAAGCAAGAGGTGTAAACAGGCATGTAAACTGACGTGTGCCCCCTTTTGTTTTCATGGATTATGTCAGAACCTTCTCACTGTTTAGGTATACAGACTTATTAAATGAATGGCTTTCATTTGAACCTTATTCAACAGGTGGTCCACTCTAGCCAGCCGTGGTAGTCATTTAGATCAAAACCAGATTCCTCACAGCAGCAGCAATTCCAATCTCTGGCTTGACAATACAAACAAGTACATGCTACACCTCCTCCTCCTGTGTGGATGCAGTAAAGGCAGCTTCAGGTGTGTGTCAGAGGGATCAGAGGCTCAAAGGAAAGCAATCAAATTATTAGATGGGGCACTCTGCAAATGGACATATTTTGTCCTTTCTGGAGACAAGACAGCAGTCCATATAGAAGCATCCACAGTCTAGGTATAATCCATAAGGCACCATTTGAAGCATACTGATTTGAGGTCATACAGCATACAGTAAAACAATGGCCAAGAAAAAAAAATCATCAGCTCTATCAACCAATCAAGAACTGTCAAATAAGGAAGGCAGGAACTATAGGAAGGAAATCTTTAATGAAATGTTTCCAGGTAGGAATATACTTTGAAGAAGTGCATGTGACAAGTATCCTCCTCAGCTCTGTGAATGGATACAGAGCTGTGAGAATAATGAAGCCAGAAGAAGTCACTTGTTCCTCTCAAAAATACCATTCAAATACTGGCAGGCACTCCTAACCCAGGGGGTCTTTACATCAGGGTGCCACCTGCCTTCAAATTGCAACATCTCTGTAGATTACCAGATGAAATATTTCCCATCAAGGAGGCAATGCATTAACAATAATCTACAGGGAGGATGACAGCTACAACACACACCACTAACATCTGGCTGGCCACAGCACAACAGTCAATGCAATTAACAGTCTATTTGACAGATTTTCTCCAGAAACATTTGATTAACAATAGGCTTGAAATAAAACAATCTTATTGAAAGACTATGCTACAGAAGCCTCACCTTGCTAAATGCCCAGTTCCCGTCAGCGCTGACTAAATGTCAGACAGGATGGTTGATAATTTGACATGTAATTCACCCTGTTCAATATCGTAAATCCCCAAACACCATTTTGAGAACACAACCTCTGATGTACAGAAGGTAGTAAATTATGTCCCTATCACAGCAATCCAATGAATCCATTAGGAAGGATAAATCATTGGATGACATCTTAACCTTTAGTTGCAGGAGAAACCATTCATCTACAGAAGGTTGTGTTTATTTGGTTTATCACGGGCTGCCAGTCCAGCAAAGAAGACCTGTGCAGCGTGCTGTGTACCATGCACAAAAGAGCATACGCTGGAGCTGCAGAAGACCTCTTTTGCTAGTTTCATCTAGATGTCTTTGAAGATATCTTCACAGTTAACTCTGGAATGGTAACTGTGTTAAGCCTCGCAAGGGTCAAACACTTTTTCTAATGTAGGCACTACAGAAGACAGCAAAGCAAACCGGCCATTCCTGGCTGCATGCCTTCTTGCATGCTTCTATATTTTATAAGCTTTTAAAATAATACAAATGCTCTGAAACTTACACACACCAAGTTACGAAATGTTTGCTCTTTATTGCTCCAAAAATGTCTCCCACAGAAACTGAGGATAATTTGCGAATGAGAAGATCTCAACAGACAAACAGCCATGCGCACACACAGATTCAGAGCAGAGAGCCAAAGGTATTTGTATTCTGCCATAGGCTCAGAATGGATGACTTGTCAATACTTGGTTATTTATAAAGATACTAAATTTCCAGCAGATAAAAGGAGTATCTTTAGAAAGTACCACTTTGACACTTCCACTATCTTTTTCTGCATCTTGGAATCCATTTACATGGAAGCTCATGAATATATGTGGAATGATCCTCAAATAGAAGACACCACTTGATATTAAAAGCCAGTTTGTCTCAGTATTTTTCAACAAGTCTAGAGGCATTTTCCAGAACTGACTAAAGAAGTTGAGTACCTAACAATTTCTGTGAATGAACTGAGGTGCCCAAATGCAGGAGCACTTCCTAAGGTGTAATTAAGAACCCTCAAAATTTGGGCCTGGAAACAGAAAGGGTGATTTGGTCAGAATGATCCTGCATTGTACACAATGCTGAGACTAGAATTCAAAAGCTGCCAAATGCAGATCCAAAACCCAATCTCAACAACACCTGGTGAGAAAATAAAAAAGTGGAATAAGCAACTACAGCTGCTGGAGAAACAGGTGTCAGAAGGTTGTCTGGCTCTTCTCAGACGTATCTGTCTTCCGCATAGGGATTTGCCAGACAGATGGCCATCCTACACAAACAGCAGGTAGGAATTTCTTCCAAGTCATTGATTCTTGTGGTTTTTTATGTAGATTAAGTCACAAGCGTGGTGGCAGTCACAACTGCCTCTGCAGACATATTGCACTTCAACAGAAAAGCCTGTAACCCATGAATCACATGAATTCTAAGTAAAAGGAATCCCATGCCAGAAAACAGTAAGAAGTGGACATCGGCCATGAGGTGAGCTGTGCATTTGACTGGAAAAGTAATAAATCTGGTGGAGTATTACCAAACCACTAAAAAGAACTAATTATATATACACAGTGTGTGTATTTTTTTAGCATTGACAATAACCTCTCTTTATGCACCAGAACGCAACCTAAGTATGCCTCTGATGAACACAGTTTGGGACATATCCACACCACAGACACAGGCAAGCAGGTAGTTACTATTAGGGACCACAGTCCTTGTGATATAAGGCTCACAAGTGGCAATTAATAGTGGGCTGCCAAGGAAGAGGCAGACCCCTACACTACTGTTTGCAGGACAGGATGACTACCAGTGCCTGGCAGTTAACTGACCTCTCCTCTAACATCTATAAGTCAGCGTTGGAGAATGAACCCAAGCAAACCGATTCACCAGGTTTCCATCTCTGATTATGTGGTTCTGCTCACTCACAGCACAGCAGTTTTACCTCTCTGACACACATAATTTATATGACCTGTCTCCACAAGCTTCCTCTCCAAGGACCCAGCTGGTGTTGCCTGCTACTGCACTTTTTAGCAGATGCTAAAAAGCCAGGTTTCAACTTGCTGGGCACCACATCCCACCCTGTGCCAGGCTCAGTTATCACCTGAGCCAGCTCTCAGGGTCCTGCTCTCCACTGTGGCCAGCAGAAACTTTTACAGCACCTCTAATAACAGCAAAACCAGTATATGACATTTTCAACAGTACCTAAGAGAGAAAAGTGCCAAATTCCTACTGGAAATCAGTGTGAGTTTTCTTAGTGCTGTCAGAATTCTTATATAGAGATAATAATAAGTGACCCACCCTTTTCATTGTTACCAAATGTGAAAAACTAAAATTCTTCTTAAAGCCCACAGCATTCTTCACTCCTTGGGTATCGTGTCTACGTTTAAACCTCTGAAGTCTACTTTTAAAGAACTAGCGCCCCT